AAAGAGTGTGATTCCCTGGATAAAGTAAAATTTGTCTGTGAAATATGAACTTTGAGAGGATTCTTCCTATAACAAGGGCTTGGAATCAGTAGGACTTTTCCTGGACCTAAAGTTCAGGTCAAGGTGCCAAATAGTTGGCTGTTTGCTGTAGAGAAGTTCTACCTTATCCTGAACCTCTGAAAACTGCAGTGAAGACTCTTCCTATAGATCAAGGGGTAATCATGAGCATTTTCTTTTCTAAAGGAATTCAACCAAAGTTAGTAGGGACTGGGTTGGAAAGGATGAGGAGAGAAGGATGAAGAATCTCATAGTTATTTGGAAATGGTATCTCTGATCCATTTCTCAGAGGGAACTTTCCAGTGGATGGTGTGTATCAGTGTTCTTTGGCTCCAAGAACACTGATCTTGATCTTGAGAGTATAGATAAGTATACAGATAGTATGATCTCTGATCCTGAGAGCATAGGAAAATGTAAAGTTCCTGATAACTGAGTACTGTTGTGTAATTCATTGTGCAGAGTAAACTTCTCAACTGTCTAATTGAAGTTCTAAGGGGTGAAATATGAAACTGTGTGTTTCTGCATGCTTTAGAGTGGAGAAAGTTATGAGCTTGGAACTGATTGGCACAAAGGATTGCTAAAGAAATAGAAATCATTAGAGAGAACAGCATTCTGAATATTCCTTCTTTTCTTTGTTCCTGCTTGTGAAGGATCTCCTTTCCCTTGGGTGGTCTAATGGGAATTGAATTATAAAAGGAATAATTTCTTTGACAAACTGTAGAATATCCTGGAATCTCTATGACTGTAGCTTGTCAATAGCTTTATAAAACAGCGTGTGATCTTCAAACTTGTAAGACACTGCTTTGATCAGAGGCAATATCAGAACTTACTTATCTTTGGGGGAAATGAGGTAGTAAGGCTCTTCAGGCTTAACAGTTTCTGCTTCCTCCTACTGTCCATGGCAGCAACTGAGGTTTTGACATAGAACTGCTACGTGAAGTGACGGAGATGGATGTTGGAAATAGGGTTTTTGATCAGTTTTCCTACTAACTCCTACTGTGCCAACATATTAGAATGTGCTTAAAGGTTATTGGGAGACAGATCTCTAGAAGGTCATTTTCACCTATCAAATCAAACTGGTATTTTTGAGTCTACTATTGATGCTGCTTCAGAAGTATCTCTGCAAGTTCTAGTAGTGGATAAACACCAACAGCAACAATGAAGCACACTGTTCTTTTTTATTTTTCCAATATAATGCAAGTTGTGCCAATTGAATCAATGCATCCTCTATTCAAAGCCATTTTGTGCATGTGCTATTCTCTATGCAGTGGGATGGCACTTGGATAAGTACAAAGAATTGATCACTTGCTTGAACACTGCTGATTCTGCATCCAGTTTGTGAGCAGTAGAAACAAGATCACACATATGTGTACCATGTAACAATTGCAAATAGCCAGTGTAGGTTTTAGTTCCATATGGCTTACTAGGGTTCTGGGACTGTTGATTTCTACTGTTTTAGTTGTGGTGATCTTTTCTTTTTATGAAATCATAAAATTTAAATTTCAGAAAACTGGGACATCTTTTCACTTTATAGATACATTAAAAGTATCTAACACAGTTGTAATCAATATTTAACTTCTTTGTCTCTGCTGTTTAGACTTCCCTGGGGCAGTGTGTTTTGTCTGCATACATAAGAAATGGGTGACTGTGCAATAGTAAAAAGTGTGATTGGAAAAAGAACAAAAGTAGAATGCAGAGAATCAGAGCATTTGGACATGCTGTCTTGCTTCTAAAACAACTGTGTAAAACTGGTATAGTTGACATTATCATGAAAGGCTTGTTAATTGTTCAGTGACTTTCATTGTCTTAGTGGTTCAGGCTCCTTTGTGCATAGGTCTGTTGGGCAGGGAACCTCACCTCTAAGAAAGTTGTGGGAGTTTTTTAAGGGCTTAGCTTTAACTAAGTCACATCATTAAAGACAAAATCTTATTGTGATTAGACCCAGTATTGAAATTGAAAGAACAAACACCTGCAATTGTAACTGCTGGCTCAAAGCTGCGCGTTGCTTCGAGCTGTAAGCTGTTGCTTACAGCCTGGGTGGGGAATGTCAATGCCTGGTTGTCCTGCTTTTCTTGAGCATCAGTTACTGGGTTAAAACTGAAATAAATCATTGAGCTCTGTGGACAGTCAGTCCTACCCAGTATGGCCCTTCCTGATAAGAAGTGTTGGGAAGAGTATTCTTAATGGTCCAAGACAGAAAATGGTTTGCGGAGGAGCTCTTTACACATACCTTTTTTGTGAAAAAATAATTAAAGTTCTTAACAATGTTTTTGTGCCTTAGAAACTGTGCAAATCCACCAAAAGGTCAGGAGGTATGATGGCAAAACGCTACCTTCTTATTCTTCATTGGAAGGTGCTGGAAAGGAAAATTCTGTAACAGCCATGCAACTTCAAGCAAGCACTGAGCTTTCTGAAGCTGACCATGTTGAGAACAGGACTACTGAAGAATGTCTGCACAGTGGGGAGACTAAAGCTGCAGGTGTGATAATAGAGACAGATGCATCACACAGCAGTTCAGACCTCTCTGACCAGGAGCAAAAGGGCCTGGATGGAAATGTGATGGATATATTGAATTGGGCGAGGCCTCTCCCTGCTCTACTTTCTCCAGTACAGCTTTCACCAATAACTAGACAGGTGAGTTTCAGGACATGTCTGACTTGGCACTAACTTGGTTGTATAATTACTGCAAAAATAATTATTTTATATTCCTGCCTTTTTTTTTTTTATATATATATAGTATTTATTCATGCACTGAAGGCATCTTTGTGTGAGTGTTTAGATCCAGATGGATATTTTTTACCTTCTAATATACTGCCTGTGGAAGGGGGCAAAACATAATTTTCAGAAGTGTATTGAGAAAAAAGTCACTCTTGTCTCAACTGCTGTCATAATTTCTTTCCCCAGTTGCAGACATACCAAAAAGGAGTTGGGACTGTAAGCGTGACTTTCATAGCAAAATTCCACAGCTTGAAAGTCAAGGGGAACCTACTCAAATGTTCTTCTCCAGTAATTTTAGAATATGAGTAGGTAGGTAAAGAACTCTCTGACTTTTCACAGAGGTATTTGCTATTTAGTGTGAAAAACAGTGATGGAGAAGGATGTAGTTCTGTTGATGGCCTTAATGTCTCAAAAGGACTATGTGGCAGTGTATTTGTTTAGAGAAATAAATCTTAAAACACTACCAGGCTTTGGAATATTAACTTTGTATTTTTCATTTAAGGATTTACTGTTTGGAGAAGTCACAGGTTCCAGCGATGAAGAAGTTGACTGCAGTGCTTCTGTAGTGGAGGCTATTTTAGAAGAAGACCAAGTTCAGCCTCAGAGTTGTAATGAATTCAGCCTCAGTGAGGAGTATAACAGACAGAGCAAATCATGTGGGTGTGACCTTGATGGAGTGATCTCACATAACCTGAGTTGGAATGAAAAGATCTCAAGCAAGGAGGAGAGAGATGCTGAAACAGAGCAAGCCGGCACTGCTGCTTTAATCACAAACATAGAAACTGACCAAGAGTGTTTGGAGGGGAATTCTGAGAATATGGAAACAGAGAAGAGAAAACTAACTGAAGCAACAGCACATGAACTGGAAGCCATCGGAGAACAGAAGGGAGATAGTGAGGACATGCACGGTGAAGGAGGTTCTTCAGCTGATTTTATGTTACAGAGTTGCAAGCCACAGAATCAGATGGAAAAATGTAGTGAGGTAGAGCAAACAGAAGAGAATGTAATCTTAATCAGAACAGAAAGAGATGTGTTGTCAGGAGAAACACCCAGGGCAGTATCTGTTCCCCAGAATGTTACTCATTTGCCACCTGAGCAATCTGATGTGATGATACAGAATGAAGGGGTTGAAAATGAATCAAAAAATCTAATCAAAATAACTAATACAGCAAGTGATGTAGAGGAAAACACAAACCAGGTGATAATTGGAGAGGAACTAACAGCTGCAATACAGATGGAAAGACTCTGTGCAGAGGCAAATAATGAGAGAGAGACCTCTAGAAATGTACTGTCTAATTTCAGTGGTTCTGGATCCTTTTGTGAAGTGGAAGGTCCTAAAGAGCTGTTGGTGCAGCATGATGGGGAGAAAATAATTATGGACACTGAGGCAGACACTGGAGCTGTTGAGATCTTTGCATGCTCTCAGCACTCTGAAATAACATATGACAGTGAAGAGATCTTGGAGAAACCATATGTGCAAACAATAAAAGATGAAGTAGATGGAGAATACCAACCAGAGACTGTTAAAGTCTCTAGATGTTCCTCACCTGTATCTGCTGTTGAAGGAATCAGAAATTCGTTGTCCATGGATGACACCAACAAAAATGTAGTTATGGAGTGGACTGCTCTGTCAGCCTTTCCAAAAGATGATGAACAGCTCAAAATTGAAGACATGAATATAAGCAAACCTGAGACTATTGAACTAGCCATGAGACTTAAGAGAGAAGGTGTTGTAGAAAAGACTGAATCATCAGAGCTGCTCCATAGTGCAGAAAGTGGAAAATTAGTAGATATAAAAGAGGGGGGATGTTTAAAAGGCAAAGCACACGAGGAAGAAGGTGGTAGTGATCTATCACAAGGGAAATCAGAGCTGGAGTTTGTACTTGGGTCACCGAAGGTGGGGTGCATTACTGATGCAGAAGACAGTGTAGCTAAGTGTGAATCCTCTGGTTTGGATGTTACCGAAATGAAACAACCCGAAAACCTGTGTAGTACATTAGAACATGAGCTGTCCAAAACTCAAAACTTCAGAGTGTTTGAATCTCAAGAGACTGAATTCAAAGTTAATCCAGAGGATTTTGGAGAGGAAAGCAGTGAGCTGTTAGAAACAGTGGATACCACTGAATCTGTCATAGTAGAAACTAATCTCACTTCTCAGGCACAGTTTGCAAAACCTCTGAATCAGTTCTTGGTAACTGAAAATGTTAAATGTGATGAAATAGAAAGGGAATTAAATAAACAAAACAAGGAATTGGTGACTGAGACTACTTCCAGTTCACTTAACTGGGAAAAAAATGTGAAGAAAAATAGTATTTCAGAGATCATCTGCCAGCCTACTTCAGAAATGGATTTTAATAGTGTCTTGGCTTTTTCTGCCCAAGGGGACTTGGAGATGGCCTGTTTTAATACTGAAGAAACAGATTCTCCTGTGCAAGTGGGAATTGGTTTGGAATCCACAATGCCTTCTAATCTAAATTTCAGTCTTCAGAAAGCTGTTAGTTTTGTTGAAAATAACTTCACAGAAAAGGTTACTTTTTCACCTATATGGGAAAACAAAGATAATAATTGTTTTACAGGTAGTACATTTAACTGTTCTTCAGAAATCTTGGAAGGGGGTTCTGAGATCCTATCTGCTGAAAGAGCCAACCTGTGCAAAGAACTGGACTGTCCTGAGAGGGAGTACCTACACACAAATGAAGTGAAAATTCCAGATGAGAAGGAGCAGCCAGTAGATAAAGAACCTCAGGTATCTGTTCAATCACAGATCCTGCATGCAAGCTCTTGCAATAAGAATACTTTTCTTCTCCAAAAGTGTTCTCAAGAATCAGGATGCAGGACTTCTATGTGGGACGTTAGAACAGATCCTTCTAGAACTGGTCCACTGACAGCTGAGGGAGAAAGCAAAGAATTGAACAGTTTTGAGGCATCTGGGGAAAATGCTGTAAAAAGGTCTGAAGATTATTTTGATGTGCTGGAGCAGAACAGTGGATCTGAAGAGAAGCACCATTCTGTACAAAAAATCAGATATCTGAAATGTTCTCAGTGTGTTCCCATGTTGAGAAAGGACCAGACAGCTTACAAGAGAGTTGCAGGGAGTGCTCTGGAAACTGGTGCAGTTGTTGATGCTGATTACCAAGCGTGTGAACTTCATTCGACAATGCACCCAGGAAATACCTCACCAGCTAGTTGTCTAAGAGCGGACACTGTGGTGGATATGGATGCGCACTGTGAAAGAAACAGCTCTCCAGATACTGCAAATATGTTGGCAAATGGGGTTGAGGGGGATTATCCTAAAAACGTAGAGTCTTGGAAAAGACAATGTGTATTAGTAACTTCTGAAAATCCTGAGGGTGCTAATGAATGCATGGTAGATTCTAACAGAGATGGATGCATCAATGACAGTGAGGAAAGTTCTCTAAAAACTGGGACATCAACAGAAAGCCTTGTGATGCCAAATACTTCAAAAAATAGTTTACCGCTATGCCAGATATTAACTGGATTCTCAGAAACTTGCAGACTGCCTGTAAAAAACAGTAAATTAAATACAGAAACCTTAGCACTCGGCAATTTCTTAGAAGAAAATGGTTCTGAAAAACTTCAGTCAAACATGGAGCAAGTTCTACAACATGGTATTGATATGGGTGTCTCAGTCACTGAAGAATATAATCATGATCAAACTTGCAACACTGGAGAAAACAACACTGATGTTATCCTAGATGGTAGCAATAGAAAAAAAAGAAAAGTCACGTATCTTCCAAATCCAGCCCTGTCTGATGCAGAGTGCAATTGTCAGACAGTTAGGCAGCCTTCTGAGCCACCAAAGACAGTATTTGAGAAGCTGTGTGCATTGGAGTCAGAGTCTCGTGTGGATGTTACTCTCAAAAAGAGCAATAAACTGAAGTGCCAAGAGCAAGAACCATCTGAAGCCTTGACTGTTTCAGGCAAGGCAGCTGCCCAGGTAGCACACGCCAAACTACCAAAGAGTCTGGTTCAAGGTAAAAGAAAAACAAAGACTCACAAAGTTAAGCTAACTCAGCCAGTTCTTGCAAATGCGGATACTTCTGTGCCAACAAAATGCTCCTCTGAGACTATAAATAAAATTAGGCAAGAGATGGGTCCCCCTCTGCCTCCCTTGCTATTGCCTTTGATTGCCACTCCCCCGAAAGCTGCGTGTAGTGTGTCTCCAGTGACGTCTTCTATTGGTCAGTGCTCTTTGTTTTCCCCTCTTGATGATCTGATATCCCCTCTACGTGAGACTCCTGTTCCCCCTCTCATGTCTCCATTAACACATACTCCAACAGTAAAATCTGCTCTTCTATTTTCTCCTCCCTCACCCTCAGAAGTGGCAGTAGGCAGAAGGATTCGTTCCTCACCGTTGAAATTTTGTACTTCCATTCCAAAGCATGCGCTTCCTGTCCCAGGGAGGCTTCCTCTGCTGGCCCCTGAGGGTGCTGCTCCGGCTGCTCCTCAGGAGAACTCCGTGAAAATACTAGACACTATGTATCCAGAGCTGTCTGCCAGGGCGAGGACACTGAACATCCTGAAAGGTAACATTCATCTTGGCCGATGTACTTTTTCAGACAGCCAGAATTTGCCAGGGCCTGTGGCTCAAATAGGTGGGTTCAAATCGATTTCATCTACATCTACTGCTTTTGTTAAAACTGGTAGCAATTTGAAATCTGATAATAGCAACAATCAAGACAAAGATGTGCAAAATCAGCAATTGTTTTCAAGCTCATCAAATCGTCTTGAAAAACGGACACTGTTGCCAATATCTATGCCAAGAAGTGCAAAGAGACTGAGGCTGGACAGTGAACCGTCAAAGCTGGAGCCCAGTGATACTGCTGCTATTGGAAGTAATGAAAAGACCATCTCTGAAGTGCAGGAGGCTTTCCATGACAAAAGCTGTGAAGTCAGTGATTCAGCACACAGTTCCAGGTTAGAAGCATCACTAGCAGTAAAGAAAGTTATTGATCCTGACTGTTGGAAAGTTTCTTTGGCATTGAAGAAAATTGCTGAATCCTGTTTTGACTTGTTACCGGTCATTAAAGGTCACGTGTATGTTGGCAATATCTCAAAGATTCCAATAATGAGAGATCAAGAGAAGGAAGTTGTGTATGAATTTGGTATAAAAAACAAGGTAAGTAGGAAAATTTTTAATACTCTGTTTTAATAATGACTCAAGGAGTTGATAAATCTGCTAATTTTGTAGGAGCAAAGCTGTAGCAGCTTTGTTTCCCAGTCCAGCCAGTAGCAAGGCTGAGAGCGTACTCCTAGTAGGCACATATGCACACAGTGCATGCCTAATCTTGTTCCCTTCTCTGGCTGATCAGGGTGAAAGTCTGGTGGTGGGAAATACACACACGTAGATATACATACACATGCACACAGACACTACTGATCCCTCCAGTAGTTGACTCCTCCCCACTTGTCTCATGTGCTTATACACCTAAGTCATGGAAGAGACGCATTTCTTCAGTAGCTGTTCCAGACATGTGTCCATACCTGCATCATGCCCTCAGACCCATGCTCTTTCAGGTAGCTAGCTCACAAAGCCAACACTCAGACTCCCTAGTGCATCTGCAAGTACCCAGTCTACACCTGGAGCTTCTCCAGTAGCTGGCTTCTAAGCCTTTCATTCTACTCCTGACATTCAGCCCTCCCTCTAAACCTCCTATAGTAAGTCTGAGACAATGCCAGTATTCTCCTTCCTAGCATCTCATATGGAGTCCCATGTTACTGTAGACAGTAGCTCCTGTTCCCCACCTCCTGTAGCCCCTGTAAGGTGATCTGTGAGGAGACTCTGCTCCTAGCTAATCTTAAAGTTTCACACTGGGATAATGGGCTGTTTGTCCTCCTGTGACAGCTTTGGGAGTACACAGTCAGGGTGCTCCATTTGCTCTGATTAGGTTATTAGGGTTGCTCTAACTGTCATCACTCCTCTCCTCATTTTTTGTTTAAGAAAGGTAGTTTTTAATCACATAACTAAACAAAGAACAGTAGTCCTATTCTGCATCTGTTCAAGGCATCTTTATTTTTTGAAGTTGCTCTTCACTCCATTTGTTTTGCTGATTGCCTCTCATTTACTTTTCTGCATTTTATTTGAATGCAAACAGTATCCCTGCGAAGAAGAGAGTAGTTCTTTTGAGTTGTCGTATTATTATAATGTTATCAAATATTCTTAAGTATGTAACAGTCTAACAATCTATTTTGTGCCTTGTAGCATTTAGCAGAGTCCTTGCTGCATGCTATTCTCAGTAAACTCAAGGCTCAGAAAGATGCCTCCAATTACAGTTTCAATCAGGCTCTGTGTCGGGTCTATACGGGAGTTTGTCGGCAGCTGGGAGATCTGGAAAGAGCTCGCCTTCTCTGCTATACCCTGCTTAAAGAAGGTATGGTATGGCTTACTGGTTTTGTATCCTAAATATGCAGTTTGTCTTTGATGTAGCATTCCAGAAAGATTGTTTGTAGAAACAAACAAACAAGGTTTTGTAAAAGGGGTATTTTCCTTAGAACTTTTTTCCTGTAGTGCAGACACTTCCAGAAGAAATTTATTTTCTCACCGTTCCTCTGCATCTGTCTCACCTGGGCTCTTAGAACTCTATTAATTTTTCCAAAGAAATGCTTTATTTAGGGTCCTCTTTGCTTTAATTTTTTGCCCCACCCTCTCCAAAATGTTAAAGTGATTCCAGGGAATTTTGTACTTTTTGCTTATTAGTATTTTCTAATTTTAACTGAATAAGCACCGATTCATATGGCAAGTATGATTTAAAAATATGTATTGGCTTATGTTACATTATTTTGATGCCTTGATCAAAACCAGTGCATTTGTGCAACACGTCCCCCTTAAAGCTCTATTACTTTCCATTATCCAAAATCTCACTTGATTGAGAAGTTTTTTTCATGTTGTTTCCCTTCCTTTTGTTCCTGGTAACAAAGGTAATAGATACATACTATCACTGTACTAAATTCACAAGTCTGTCTTAGTTCTGGAAGGACTTCACTTAGTTTGAAAATACTGAGCCATCCAGAGCTCAAATCAGTATACCACTATCTGTGTTTCAAATCAAAATCAAATAAAATATGAGAGAACTGAGGAACAAAATGCTACATTTGATTGCTTCAGTTAATGGATATCTTCTATATAGAGACTGATTTTTATTTTGTTCTTCTGTTCTTCGGGGTTTTGTGTTTGTTTGGCATGTTTGTTTGTTTGTTTATTTTTATCTTGTTGTTTTGGGCTGTGTTTTTTTGCTTGGGTTCTTTTTTGGAATTCCTGTTTTCTTATCTGTTTTTCTGTTCTTCATGCAGTCCGTCCATAACACTCCTTTCATTTTTTCATGTTACTATGGCACATATTTTAATACTGCACCATTATCAGAAACTGTTACTTGTCAGATATCTTTTCTTAATGTAAATTAACAATTAAGTCTTTTGTTTTGCAGTACTTTGGTACTTTTGACTTTTTGTGGGCTCTTGCATATATGAAACATACCCTTTTTTTCCCCTTTCTTTTTCTGGGTTAGATCCAAAATTCAGTGGGTAAATGCAGATTTTTTGTTGACTCATTTTGTATTCTAGACTTTGAAATTGTATAAATTCCTGTAGTGGTTATTCTGTGTTTTCATTGTTATCTTTTGAAGGTGAACAGCTACAAATGCATCTTAAAGGTTCCTTTTTTTTAATTAATTTTTATTTGATTACAAAGCATTCATTTTAGGCTTTTCTCTTTCATGTAGTTTCACATACTGGTTACTATTCAGAATTATGGCAACACAAGTGTGAGCGATGTGCCAGCTACACAACTGCCAAACTGTCTGTAACTGTTGGTGCTACCCTATTAGACTTGCACCAGCTGTTTTCTTGACTTCTTGTCCATCCTTTTTTTTCCTGTTCTCCTTTCAGGTGTTCTGCCTGAAATGGCTATGAATTAAATGTTAATCTTTCTTTGGTTATTTTTTTTCTTTTATACCTTCCCTGTTCCTCTCCTTTTTTATTTTCTTTTTTTGATATCCCTTTAACTCTTACTCATTACTGAGTCCAAGCATTCCAAATTCATGGACAGATACTTCAAGTTTGCAGCTTTGAGATAATTCTAGTTTATCAACAGTCCTTGATCTGACCAAAAAAAAAAGTTCATTCTTATGTGATGAGGGTCTTCAGAGTAGAGAAGGTCCATCCAAGACACTTCATGGAACTCATTCTGCTCAGTGAATCCATTAATGCTTCTTAATTTGATGATCTTCATATGTTCTTTAGTTCTTAAGATGTGTTGAAAAATGTAGAAATTGTTGTGAATTGAAGAGGGAAGACACATTTTAGCATTTCAGGTTTCACTGGTTTTTGTAGATTTTTAAACTACAGTGTTAACAGGCATATGTACTGCAGTATTGCATTTCCTGCCTGAAAGTAATATCTATTTCTTGCTTATTCCAATGTATTTTTTTTCCTGTTGCTTGCAGCCTACACACTCATGTTTTATCTTAATATTTTGCCTTGAAGATCTCTGCTTTAGTCTTCAGAAGGGTCTGTTGGCTTCCCTTAAATGGCCTTGGAACTCTGTCCTCTTTTATATAGTTCTGGATATATAGTTGTCAGATACTTGCTCTGAATTAATTTACTGGATAAAATTTCTTCAATTGCATCAGTAGCACACATTTTTTTATGTCTATGAAAATATTTGTTTTGGCATACATCATTCTTATACACTCGCTCACAACTTGTGTAATCTCCCTGATAGAGTCTGGGAAAATGGCTGAGCAATATCAGATTTCATATTTGAATTGTATGGAAGTTCTTTGCAAAGTTTTGTGTTTTTTTTTTTTTTTTTTATTTTATTTTATGTAGTTTTCATAGGTGTGTGGGTGCAACGTGTTAGCAAGTGCTGTGGATTTGTAGTGAAGACCTGATTTTTCACATTATTACACATCTCAGGATTATTTTTTTTTTTTTCTTTTGGACTGGATCAGTGTTCATTTGTGACTGGAGTGTATTAGGCAGGCTTCTGGAATGCAGTCTTCCAGTTTAATTTCACCCTAAAATAATCCCCTTTCAATGCTTATAAAACCACTCTCCTTAGTGAAATGAAGTGCAGTAAGAAGGCTGAAAGGATACGAACCTCAAAATGCAAGAGGGAAAGTGCTTTTGTACTGTCAATACACAGTGAAGTTTTGAAGCCTTTGTTGGTTTTTTTCCTTAAAAAAGAGAGTGATATTGCAATGAGGGAGGTGGGGTTTTTGTTGTGTGGTGGTTTTTTTTTTTTTTCCTTGCATCTTTTTTTCTTAATTAATCTTAGTACTGAGATGTGCTACTGTGGCTCCCCTTCCCTGGGCTGCAGTTGTATCTTCTATGCTTTCTTTCCTAGTTATCTTGTTGAAAAGTGTACTAACTTCAAATGCCAGAGTATTTATTTTTTGTTTTTAAAAACTTACTTTGTTCTCTCTTTTTTCCCTTAGACTTTCCAGACTCAGAAAAATTGGTGTTATTTATCACAAATGTATGGTCTGACATATTTGTCTTCCAAGGTGCAATTAACAAAGCTATGCAATTAGTTGCCAGGCAGAATGCAAGCGATGAGATGCTGACCTGTTTGAGTGCTTATGTCAACTGGGACCAGGTAACATCTGCTTTCTTTGTCAGTGTCAGCTTTTGCCTGCACTGGTTGCTCTGCTAGCTGAATCAAATCAATCAGCTTGCTTCTGATGAATGGTGTGAATGTGCAGGGTCCAGACAACCACAGGAAACAACACCACAACACTTTTCTTGTTTTCACTATGAAATGCTAGTACCTCACTGTACTGCAATCCCTGCTTAGCAAAGAATTTGTAACCTCCATTCTATTAGGTTACAGCTTTCAGTCTCATGTCAACAGGGAAGCATGTAACTATGTCTCAGTAAATGTTCCTGGAAATACTATTTTCTTTATGAAATATAGGAGCTGTTGCAGCTGGGGAGAAGGATCTCAGGAATTTATATATTGATGATAGCAGATGACATCATTCTATATATAAGATATTTCTTACTTAGGTGGAACTATAGGGGCAAAGTTGAAGTGATTTTGGTTTACAGTCTGTTATACATATAATTTTACAAGACTACTTCTTAATACTTATTCCTTGTTTGCCCTAGCGATTTAATTAGCAGGATTGTTTCATATGATACGTTTTCATTTATTGCTATCTCAGTTATTGAAAATACCTGCTTGGAAATTAGCCCCTAAAGAACAACAACAAACTTTTTTTTTTTGTACAAGCAACAAGACAAATACTGAGTACTTGAGGGTGTTAGTTTATGTGTAAGGTGCTGTGGACAGTCAGAATCAAATATATGTAGAGAGTTTGGTTCTGAGTTGGTTACTGTTCATACACTAAGATCATCACCTTCTAAAATTTCAGAGCTCCTCATTAGATGCTGGTACTATGGTCTCCAGCCTGCTTTTAGAGATGCAGTCCTGTCCGACAGTGGGGTTGCAGCGGAGTGAGCAGCACGGGGAGGAGCTGAGTGAGGGGGCCTGGCAGTACCTCTTTGCTGTCGATCTGCTCTGCTCCCACCTCAAGTGGGACTGGACACACAGCAACGTTATAAGGTATTGTGGCAAGCTGTTCTTTCAAATGTTTTCCTGTGTGGTTGGTTGGTTTGGTTTGCTGTGTTTGGTCGTTTGTTTTTTTTTCAGATTTGAGACATTATGACTTGGCTTTTAACATAATAAAACATTACATAGATACTTAGAATTGAAAGTGTTTTAATCAGATGAGACCTAGACTACTGTGTTTGTGTGCTTTATTTTAAGATAGGATGAGTGATCAATAAGTAAGTATAGGAATTTATAGTACTGGTCTAAGAAATTAGCCCTGTTAATTGAACTGTTCTAATAAATTTAAAATCACTCTATGTGGACAATCACTAAATGTTTTGAGAGGGATTGTTTGTCCACAAAGCAAATGATTGTCTTCCTCTGAACTGAACTTGTAAATTCCCCTCCCTCCCGTCAGTAGAAAATGAGGGTGGAATTTCTGATATTTGAATAGCACTTCTTCAGTGCTGCAAGTGAAATGTAACCATACTCATTGGTGTGCTGTCCTGATTTCAGTCTGATTTTGATTCTAAAATCATTGTAATACTTAGATTCAACCTCTTAAATTTTCTTTGAACCCTATAATCCAGCACATGGACTGCTACTGTACTTAACTTCTTTTGAAAGACTTGGTCTTGATACCTACACTGATCTGACAGCCCCTATTTTCTATGTAAAGGTTACATAACCTAGAACAATCTCCAAAAATGCGACATTGGTTTAATGATGACTTAAAATAATCATTGAATGTAAAGTAAATGCAAATAACTTACAGTCATCGTCAAGTCTTCTATCCAAGCTCTGTGCTTTAAAATAGTAAAGAAGTTATTTTTAGTGAAATACTTTAAAAATTAATAGAAATTAGCTTTGTGAAAGGTATGTCGTTTCCGCTGAAGCCATACAGAATTTGTTGTGTAGAGTTGTGCTGATAATAAGTCACTAGGTCTATCAGCATCATTTTAAGGATGAAAAAAGTTTTATGTCAGGCCTTTCAGGTTTAAAAAGCAAGCATCAGATCCTACTAGTAACATACAAACTGTGAATTTTTAGTGATTTAAGAAGTTTGTATGACATCTCAGCAGGACATTTGAAAGTAGCAGTTTCATATACATCTACGATCTCAGTGGAGTAAGGTCTTGCCTTTAGATACAGGATGCTGCAGGGAAACGAATGGAAGATGAACAGGAATAGTATTCTGAACCAGAATGATTCCTCCAGAAAGCTTTGATTATTTGAGTTTAAAACCCTTACACTACTCATACTTGTGGATGCCTGGGATATTAGAAATTTTCCTAGCAGATAGATTAAAGATGCAAGTGGAGCTGTGGAAAGAACATGGTTAACAGAACAACCATTTGCATTTGTTACTCTATAAATATCATACCACCCCTTCATGCAGCATTAGATTTTCAAATTTATTTGTCTTTCACAGCAAAGTGCTTTGGCCTTCTATGGATAAATGGGTAAAGACGAGGAAGGGCCATGGAACTTCTCAAGCTATTCCTGATAGTATTATAGCATTGACACTCAGGCTAATTGGTAAGTAATCTAAATTCTTGGTTGAACTTCTACTCTGTGTAAGTATGTCCTTTGAAAAGGTTTTATTTGCAACCTAATAGCTCTTCCTGCAAGTTTAATTTAGATTCATTTATTTGGGATCTGGATGGCATTCAAAGTAAATAGATAAAAATTGGGTTTCAGTAGATATTTTCAGTATGTAGGCTATATAATATTGTTTGTTAAAGAGAAATTGCGTTCTTTTGAGAGTTTTACTCTTACAAATAGGAAATCTGCAGGAGGTTGGATCAACCTGATGAAAAATGGTTTTGGACTCTTTAGTCACAAAAGGAATAGTAAAACTCTTGTTCCCAAGACAGAATAGTAAAAAGAATGACTAATTTTTTGTGATTGAAATGGGCATTTTCTCTTGGTATTTCAACAGCCAGTCAGTATATCTAAAAATTAGGAAGATGATTGTCTAAATATTGGATCCATATTAACTTTATTTTTTTCAGGTCGATTGGGCCAAATTGGTTTGAAGGAAGGATACCTTGCTGCAGTGAAGAATATTAGTTCTGTAATCGGACTGTTTGTACAGCACGCAAAAGAGGAAGGTAATGTTTATTGAGAGGAACTTCAGCATAACATCTGCAACGTGAAGTTTTGCCAGTGTAAACAGAACACACAGAGATGGAGACACACACGCCCAAGCAGCCTACTTGTGCAGTTTTATGTTAGTGCATAACAGTACCAACAGTTTTCAGTTTGAGTCCCTTCTTCCTCTAAAGTTACTGAAGCATATGTCTTATGTTCTCTGTGAGACAGCAGTGTTGAGATAGTTTCAAGCCACTTTGGAATTACACTGCTTCATGTAACAGCATATTAGCTGCCTCAGGGTGATCTTAACCTGAGCAGCTCAGGCAGAAGCTTGCTACCATCAAGATTGTTGTGATGGGAGACAGGTGCAAAAGAGACCAAATTCCTGATTGAGACAGCAAGGCAACTAGGGCAGCACAGATCTGTGTTGCAAAGTTATTCTGGATATTGAGTACATTTTTCAGTGAAGTGTTGGTTGATGTTAGGGAGCTGTTGTGAGCCCCTTGTGTAGATTCTCTTCCTTACAATCTCAAATTCTTCCAACTAAGTGGTGTATGTCCGTGTCTGTGTCAGACTTTGTAAGCCTGACCATTTTCACAGAAGTTTGATCACCCTTAACTAGAGTAAAATCCCTAGCTGCTCAGATCTTTTATGCCCTTGGAATACGGAAAGTCTGCTGAATTCAGAAAACTGGAACATGCTAGTATAAAATCACAAGATCATAGAACGTATTGGGTTGGAAGGGAACTCTAAAGGTCATCTAGTGCAACCCCCCCCCCCATAAGCAGGGACATCTCCAGCTAGGTCAATCTGCTCAGAGCCTCATCAAGCCTGACCCTGAATGTCCCCAGGGATGGGGCCTCCACCACCTCTCTGGGCAACCTATTCCAGGGATCTATCGCCCTCATACTGAAGAACTTTTTCCCAACGACTAACCTAAATCTCCCCTTTTCTATCTTAAAGCCATGACCCCGTGTCCTGTCACTACAAACCCTTATGAATAGTCCCTCCCCTGCTTTCCTATAGGCCCCTCTCAAGTACAGGAAGGTCACTATAAGGTCTCCCCAGAGCCTCCTCTTCTCCAGGCTGGACAACCCCAGCTCCCTCAGCCTGTCCTCACAGCAGAGCTGCTCCAGCCCTCTGATCATTTTTGTGGCTCTCCTCTGGACACGCTCCAACAACTCCACGTCCTTCTTGTGCTGGGGGCTCCAGAGCTGGACACAGGACTCCAGGTGAGGTCTCACCAGGGCAGAGTAGAGCAGCAGGATCACCTCTCTCCATCTGCTGGCCACGCTTCTTTTGATGCAGCCCAGGATGTGATTGGCCTTCTGGGCTGCCACAATGCCAAAATGAGATGTTGTGGAATTTGTGTGCAGGTTGTCTTCTTGCTGCTTTTTGATTTAGGCATCCCAGCTGTTGATGTGCTTTAATTCCAGTTGTTAAGCTAATAGTTTTTTAGATCAGGTTTCCCAAAAACATTACTGCATATCAAAGTTTCTATAAGCTGATTTGTGTTAACATTTTACAGGTGTTCCCTGGGGTGTGCAACTGGCAGCCATATATGCGCTGTGTGACTTGGGTTCGAGCAATCCAGAAGGTGTTGCTGAGGCCATCCATTCTTGGAGAGCAACAGTTCTTGACAACGTGCCTCCTGCCGTCACAAGTGGCATCGCTGAAATCACTTCTCTCTGTAAAAAGGAGCTGAACTAACACCTGGGGAAGCGGACTGATCTAAAGGAAGAAGTGCCTTATTTTATTAAACAGTAGTTGGTTGCAGTTAAAAACAAAGTGGGGTGTCCTCTTTGTATTTTTAACAGAATGCTTGATCACACAAAGCAAGCTCAAGTATTTTACTTGACTCCTCTGTTTGAGGGAGTATAATAAAATAAATAAATATACTTGCTTTTGCTAGTAACCGTTCAGTGATCTAAAGAACAGTGCATCTTTGACTCCTGAGGTATTTTTGGTTTGATGTCAATAAAAGTCAGTAATAGTTTTCATTATTTTCCTTCCATCCATCTGGAGTATGGCCTATTGGACACAGCAGAGGATTGAGCCTGGCTGAAAACCCGGCTTTATTGTTTTGTACTGTATTTATAAAGCAACCATTCAGATAGCAGGACTTTGCCCAGATTCTGGTTTATTTTGCTTGAGTAGTCTCATAACCTTAACTTAAAATACTTGTGTAAGACACATAGGTATTGACTTTTTTGTAACAATCATGTATAGAGTAACAGAGATAGTAAATCTCTGAACTTGTATATATGGTATATTCTGATAATGTGTCTCACATTTGATATTGTTCCACTTGGGGAATTCTGTGTATGTAAATAGAAGGTTGGTTCAAAAATTCACATTGCTAATGCTAGTTTCACTACACTCAACATGTTTTTGTACCTTTCATAATAAAAGAAGCAAACATCATTGGTTCTTGTTGGTCTTTTTTAAACAACACATAATTAAAGGTTGTTTTTAGCTTATATAAATATTAGTTTGCAGGCAGGGGGAAATTACCTATGAGGTCATTGCACTGAATGAGCTGCCTGTGAAATCGCAGTTCTGGCCCCTGGAAAGAGGGTATATTTAATTTCTCCAGAATTTTCTGGTATGTCTTTGGGGGCTTGGGAAGTAGTTCTAAAAAAACATTGAAAACTTCTGTTTTCATCTCCTGCCTATAACCATATGAAGGGGTGAGCTTTGCTAGTGCACATGCTCATTGTAGTGGGACCTAGACTTGGCCAAAGAGTTGATGTGGTGTCAGTCTTTTTTTCCTTTTGCTCATAAAAATGTCAAAGGGCTTTTAGTCTGCTGAAGCCAGCTGTGCACTTACGGAATGAAATCTTTGACTGAGTGAGTTGAACAACAAACACTTTACACCTAATTCTTTATCCTACACATTGTGTACCTGCAGGCACCTCTATGTTTTCAGGCTTGTCTCCAGTCAGTTGTGTATCTTTCAGCTGCAGCAAGCACTTCACTATTTCTTCTAGTTCTTGTAAACCTTTTTGGCACCTGAGAAGCAAGCTGTGTTTCTTGGTTCTCTTGAACAGTTTCTGAGTTGCTGGAAAGACAGACCCTGTGTTTCTCAGAGGTTCTGCTCTGCAGCATGCTGAGTTGCTCATTAAAGAAGGAAAAGTCATCCCCTTCCTGCACTTCTGCTTGATGAGGCGCTGATGTCTTCGACAGAGAGGATGCAGGCTGCTTTTAGTATTGCCTGTTTATCAATGCCTTTAGCATCATACTTTAAAATTAATTTATACACAAGCTTTACCTTATTATGGCTTGCCAATTTGTTTTTCTGTCTACTTCAGATAAATATAAAAGTCACTGGCTGGTTTGGGTGTGAATGGAATTTTATAAGAATTTCCCTCACATCCTATGCCTCCTGTTTTAGACGCCCTGATAAAGACACATAAGAAGTAAAATGAATTCACTAATGTTTCTAAATATTCACTGGAAATGTAAAATTTCTGGGTCAGAACAGCTGCTACTGACAATTCAAAATTTATAGCAAAATCATGTATTTTATATAAATTGTATATTTTTGTATTGACACAATTTATGCAAAATATTGTATAAATATTTTGTTTCTGATCAAATTGTTTTACACTCAAATGCTTATCTATACAAGCAGATGCTTAGTGCTCACATCCATTTTTCAGTTCTCCCAGCAGTCAGTCAGTCTTTGCATTACCTGTGCCTGCCAGATGCAGTGTGTGGTCCTTTGGTTCAAATGTTGACCCCCACCCTGGTAGAAATTGGGAGGCTACTCCATGTATATGCCATACAGCCTCTTCGCTCCCTGTTTCAAAGATTACTAATGTACCACAATATCCAATTTCTGCTGTGGCACAAACTGGAATTTCTGAGGTAAGAACAGATTTGGAAGAATGACAAATTATCTCCAGTACCCACTCCCCTACAAGTCACCACTCTGGACAGTCAAAAAATCAGATAGGAGATGGCATCTAACAACTGATTACCAGAACTTCAGTGCTAATACAGCCCTGCTAATAACTTATGTACTAAACATTGCAAACTTAGCAGCTGCTTTGCAAGGGGTTGGACATTCATGGATGGCAGTGCTACATGTGAAAGTTCTGTTCTTTACAGTCCCCTTACAAGAAAAGGATAAAGAAAAATTAGCTTTTACTTGGTTAGGTATACAATACACCTTTAGCAGTGTCCTGGCTTGAGACAAAACAACTAATTGTGTTCATTGATTTCACTTCTCATCCAAGTCTCTTCTAAGTAACTGCACTTTCTGAGGTTAATGGCATGTTTCTGCAGACAGTGTCTGCTTCTAGCAGTGGCAACACCTGGACGTTTATAGTTAAACAGACAAGGACAGGTATGCAGACCAAGGTCAGTCCTTAATCTTGTGTTCCACATGGCGGGGGGGGGGGGGGGGGGGAGGGGAGAACACAGGGACATACACAACCCCCCCGAATGTAACAGGCTGCAGCTGTGGGGAGGCGTGCACAGGACAGGTGACCCTAAACTGACCAATGCGGTGCTCCACCCTGTACTGTCACATTCCGGAGAAAGCTGCGGGATCACAAGGGTCAAGCTCTCTTCTTCAGTGTCTGGCATCCAAGTAGGACTCTGTCTGTTCTGCCTTCAATCCTGATCCCTGTGTTCATGAATCCAGTTTTGGAATCCAGCTCCTGTCTGCTGCAGAGTCCTGTTCAGGCTCCATGGCAGCAGTGGTAACGGTGATGTAACTGCCGTTAAGGGGGAGTTGGGTTTGATACTGGTTTTGTATATACTTGTATATATTCCATTTTATTATTATTTTCATTAAATCTGTGCCAGTTTTCTAATCCATAAGTCTCTCTCGTTTGTGAGGGGAGAGGGCTTAACAGAGAACATCTGTTACAGGTCTAGTGGATGGCCCTGACCCTAAACCTTGACAAACAGACTCCCACAGGGATACAAACATTCACCCACAATTACTCAGGCTACACTTGCTGAACTTCTACAGTCTCACTTCCTCAAGACATGAAACTGTACCTATGTATATATGATATTCTGATTGAAGAAATTTCCTCTGAGACAGTGGGCAAAGCGACAGCAGCAGCACAAACTCTACACAAGGCAGAAGTTGAGATCCCACTCGAAAAAATGATGAGGCCCAAGTAAAGACAGCCCCACGGTTTCTGTTGTTAAGGTGCCTCTTGGCTTTGAAGAAAACGTGTCTGGACATCCGGGCAGGGACCCGTACAAACGTCTATCTCCACCCATATCTCCCGAGGGTGCCTGCGAGCGCAGCCGCACAGCTCCCTCC